TGGGAGGATGGTGGGTGGAAATTCCGACCTCTAAACGTCATTATCCACTTTTTATTGAGTGAGGACGCAACTTACTTCTTCTTTCCTGGCGCTCTGAAACCGCCTAAAAGTATGCTGTTAAAAATGCAAAACCAAAGCGCCTGTTTAGGGGTGAGTTTTGCCATCATCTTCGGGTTGGTCTAGCTCGGCAACAAGAAGTTGGGCCAGGATTTGCTGGCCAGCGGTTGCGCAACTTATTGAGGTAGGCACTCCATGGTTATCTGCGAGATGCTCGGGCATTTGAGGAGCTTGTTCCGAGGGCTGTCTGGCTTTCGGGGCTGCAGTTCAAAGTTCAAAGATGCCCGGTCAACCGGTTTGTATCTGGACCAGCCTGTCTTCGACTGGACCTAAGGACCTTCCTATTCCCCATCCTCGGTGGACAAGCATCCGCATCTCATCGAGATCTTCTCGGCGGGACGTTGATCAGTTGGCCAGTCAGTTGTGTTTGAACTTTCATTCGGTCGCGTCGCGCTTGCTGTTGTTCATTTCTTTATTGGCTTTTAGTTATTTGTTGAGCCAATAAGATCTGAGCCCTTGTTTTTCGTTTTTGTGGGATTTCTGTTAATTTTTGATATTGTTAAAGAGAAACTTTGTTTTTGTTAACTTTTCGTTGACTATTTATTTAAAAAAAATTGTGTTGGAAATTATCTAAGCCCGTGCTTAAACATCAAAAAGTATGTATTTAAAATACTAAGTTTTTACACTTTTCTAAAGTTGTTTATGATTTGGTGTTATCTAGTGAGTGTGCGCAGTTCGATAAATAATATTATTTAAATATTACAGGACTTACCGAGAAATCCCACCAAACGAAGAATAGAATACAGCTGAAATTCCAATTTCATACAAAATTCTAAACCTAATACCCCATGATATTGATTATCGCTTGGACTTGGCTTTGATATTGCGAGTTTTTTAATCAGTTGAGTTGGCCCTGTGAGAAGACATTCGCATCATGGAGCACTCGAATGGTAATCGTAAGCCCAGTACAGATCAGCCCGAGTCACCTCATCCACAGTCCTCGGCGATGATGGGCTCGTCGGAGGCATGGAGCAGCAAACGGAAGCTCTATGCCATCGAGGAGCGCGAGGAGAGTTCGCCGGTGACTGTGGGCAAGGCGGAGGCTGATCTGGCCTACGATGCGGATGTGGACGAGCTGGAGCAGCTGGATCAGCCGACAGGTGAGCGCGAGATCATCTACGAGCTGTTCCAGCCCTGGGCCCTCAGCACATACGGCGATCAGGCCAAGACCAAGACGATAACGCTGCGCAAGAAGGCGCGAATTCTTAAGGCGCTGGAGGGCAAGGAGCACAGTCGCCCAGATAGCTCCAAGTTTCGCTTCTGGGTCAAGACAAAGGGTGAGTGGATTTGGAAGCAACCCTAAGGCGATACTCATACTGATTTCCCCTAATAGGCTTTACCACCAACCGCCCCGATGGCTTTGAAGAGGCTCCCGGCAGTCGGCGACGCCTGAAACCTCTTCCCAGCTCAGCCATCCTGTCGGATAATCCTGGCGATGTGGACCTCTTCGCCGCATCCACCAGCAAGGGATTCGGTCGCCGGACTTACCGCAAGGTGGCCTGTGTGGAGGAGTTCTTCGACATCATCTACAATGTGCACATGGAACTGGGGGGCCGCAGTGGAATGCACGCGGGCCAGAAGCGCACCTACCGCATTGTGAGTGTAGCGTACAAAATATCATAAAGATTGAATTTTACATTTATTAGTTCATCTTTGTTGGGCTTTTATAATGCTTAGATGGAGTACTTTAAATATGATTGCATTCACAGAAGTACTAAAGCGCCTATTTTTGTGAGTGTGGGACTTTTAATATTAAACTTAATAGTTTTTAAGCACAGCACAGTGTAGAAAGTATCACAAAGATTTAAAATTGCATTAATGTAATAGGTTTTCAAATGCTGAATTTTAAATATGGAAGTATCTTGCTTGGGAATCATAATAGCTGAAAAGTGACAAACGATACTCTTTCTGCATGGCACTACTCCTAAAATCTTTTTTATCCAAATTTCAAAAGTAGGAAGTTGATGAACTCTTTTGACCTCTATACACTCGAAGTTTAATTCTTTTCATACCTATTTAAAAGTTTTAGTTTACACTTTCAAATTTTAAACTTATTATTATTTCAACACAATATAAAGCAAAATTATAGTAATAGAATAGAAAGACAATTAAAAAAAAATATATATATACCACTTTAGCTAGAAAGAAATAATTTAATATTATTAAAACCTACTGAGTTTGAAACAAACTGAAAATAAATTTTTAAAATTACCAGCACGCCGTCAGATTTCTCGGAAATATGTGCTATAACATCTTACCCGACATTCTCCAATAATTATCTATGTTTCAAGAATTTACTATTTTTAAATCACGTTCATAATTTTTATTTTTCTGTAACCTTGTTCTATTTATCCCAATGCAGATCACTGAAACCTACGCCTTCCTGCCCCGGGAGGCGGTCACCCGCTTCCTGACCATTTGTCCCGAGTGCAAGAAGAACCTGCGACCCTCCTCACCATCGGGGGCGGAAAGGACTCGGACCTGGCCGGCAACGAGAGCTCCTCGGAAGTGGAGAACTGCCTGAACTATTCATCGCATACGGAGAGCTCGCTGGAGGCGGGACCTACGGCCAAACGCCGTCGGCACTCGAGCGCCGACCTCAAAGTGGTTTCCGGTGGCTTGGGCGCATCTGTGGGTGGTGCCGCTATTGCCAGCAGCTCCAGTGCCACTCAGCTGGATGTCCTGGGCACAGGACCGCCCCAAAGCCGCAGCCCCAAGCCACCGCAGGCGGTACAGGCGGTTGTTGACAGCACGCCCAAAATCCGGGTCAAGACCCAGTTGCAGCGTCCCCCGAGTCCGCTAGATCAGTCCCCTGCTGCCCCGAATATCAATCCCCAATCTGTAGCCCAATCTCTATCCCAATCACAATCCCAATCCCATCCCCAACCCGGTAGCCAGTGCTTCGATGTACAGCTGCTCAAGTCGCGGGATAATCTCCTGAGATACTATGACTTTATGAGGCGCTTCTATGCCGGCGAACCGGTTTTAGCACCGCCCATCTATGGCAGCAGCCTGTTGCAGAGCCTCAGCTATCCAACCACCGCCATCTCAACCGCGGCCACAGCAACCCCTACTACCCCTACCGCCACCACCTCAGCCCCTGGCAAGATGTTGGCCCCTCCCAAGGCCACATCGCCGCCGATCAAGACCTCTCCGGACAGCTCAGTGCGGGCACGGTCTCCTCCCCCTGTGGATTCCACAGCCAGGCCTAGGGAAAATCCCCATACACCGATAAATCTAACAAAATCTATATTTTCCAGCCTGAAAACCGGTCAACCGGCATCCACTTCGACCCCGGTGCCGCTGAAACTGGAACTGCCCAGTCCGCCGAAACCCCTGCCGGAGCTTCGAATTCCCCAACTGCGTGGATTGCCTCCCGTGGAGCTTTCCCTGCCCCTGCCACCGTTGGATTTGGAGCGCCTGAAGCCCATCACATCGACTTATTTGCAGTTGACACGCAGCATGGGACTCAGCGATGAGGATGCCTTGCGGTTCGACAACCTGGTGAGTAAAGACTTCAAATACTCGCTCTAGGCTTAAGGAAATTTAAGAAAATTGAGAGCTGATGATAGTATCCAACCCTTTTTATTAGCCAGGGAACTATCCGATCTCATATGAGCAATCAAAGTTTAATACCAAATCAATCAATTTACTATTACCATTTCTTACCATTTTACATTTTATTTTATTGCTGATAAAGCAACACAATGAATCAGTATTTTTTATTACCCATACTTCCTATTGAATCTATTATATTACATTTAAAAGCCCTTGGGCGATTTTAAACCTTTATTACGTTCTCTCATGACAAAGTTTAAAAAAAAATATTTGAAAAATGCATATTACCTATATAGATTTTAATATCGTTATTGACCAGCAAATGCAAATAAAGAATACGCCGATATTGTTTAAATATGTATGCTTGCTGTAACATATTTTATGCCAAGTTGAATTTCATAATGGCGCCTAAGGGCAGGCAATGCTTTTTAATTAGTTCGAGCGCCGTGCAAACATTTTTTGCTTCATGTTTTGGCTTTAGCTGCTGTACTTAGACTTAAGAAAAAATGCTTTTAATACGTTTTCATACATTTGATCAAACAACAATTTTTTACTAATCTAGTTTCTCTTTTCTCTGACATGCTTGGCTTATAAATGTAACCCAACTAATGCAATGCTAACGAGCGAGAAAGACAATGACAGAAAAACAGGATACACACCACTACAACTGCAACCAAATCAACCATGACCAAAATGCTTTCGGCCACCAAATGCGTTTTGCATTGAGCTGCGCACAAAATTATGCAATAGCCTTTTTTTATACGTATTTTAATCATTTTGCCGTGAAATTCCAATTGAATTTCTCGTTCCGCGCTTCCCCTTTGTGTTTTTATAATTTTGATCTCTTAATGCTTGAATTATTTTTGGCTGCAATTAATTTTTTCCTTTGCTAAAATTATGTTGTTAACCATGCTTAGTCAACTAATGTTATTATTTTAATATTATTTCGTTGATTTTTTTATTATCCCAATTATATTTTTTCCTTTCTTTTAATTTCTTTCAGCTCAGTTGTTAGCGAAAACAAAAAAAAAATTGTTTGTAATAAATTAGCTATACAAAACTATAAATGCTTTTTTAATTAATTTGGCGAACGATATGAAAATAAAGAATATTTAATGTCCCAAAATGTATACATAAATGCGAGTAGTTTTTGAACAATTTAGAGCGCTTTGTAGTTGCTTGTATAAAATAATATAGATGAAAACAAAAGCAGGTAAGTCAACACATTCTAAACTATAAACAAAAAACAACCTTATCAATTTTGTACCTACATATATATATTTATAAGTTTAATATTCCATCCCAAGATTGACTCAGACCTCCAATTTTAATGGCTGGGTTTAGCCCCAGCTGATAAGCTTTTTATTGAAGTGCGTTTTGGTTTTTCAATCAGTGTTTACAAAATATTCTATTATTTACTTCAGAAATTTTAATTGAACTCTTAAGTGCTGGGTTTACTTGGTGGGTTGCTGCTTGGGCTCTTCTTCAGGACCTTTTACTGTGCTCAGTACAAATCTGACAGTCAAAACTCGACCATTTTTATCCACAATTGTCTTGACCAATTCGCCATTTGCATTTTCAATGTCCGACGGTTTTATATCAAGCTTGGCCAAAAAATTATCTATCACTTTGTCCGTACCGTCGTCTTCTGGAGGAGGCAGAGTGGGAAGTGGAACTAGAGTTCGCTTTGTGGTGGGCGGGTCTACTACGGGAACATAGTAAGGTATCCTCTGACTTGGGCGGAGTGTTGGTCCAGAACTGGAGTCAAATGGACCAGGACGGGATGCTGGAATTGCTCCCAAGGGTGGATTTTGGGCAAAGTCGGGGTTTATTGGACCTGGTTCCCTCGATATATCGGGAAACAGCTGCTCGAACACATTACTTCCCGGCACAACTCGGCCGCTATAAGTTCTTGTTGTGGTGGTCACCTTTCGTCCCAAATTGTCCACTTCCGTCTTGGTTTTCACTTCCGGCGTCACTCCGGTTGGCACCTCCCAGTTGGGAAAGAGCGAGGGCCTGGAAAAACCCGTGCCAAATATATTGGTATCGAAATTACCTATTCCGAAATTAGATTCTCCTATGGGACGACGCTGGCTGACGGAATTTGGCACATACTCCCAGTCTTCTTGGGGCTTAGAGCTGGAATTGTCCTCCAGCCTGGCAGGCAATGATCCCTCTATAAGCCGCTTCCTTGCAATCGATCGGCCATCCGGGCTCAGTTCAAAGGTCTCCGTAGTCAGCTGACCGGCGTCACTTTGTTTTCTAACAACCAGCGGCTGCCTGGTGCGCCACAATTCACGCAAGCCAACTTCATCTAATCCTATAGTCTGGGCCGCATATATAAGCTCCTGACTGGGTTCCCCAACTGCGGCTGTTGTTGCTGCTGTCTATAGGAAAAATTTGATGTCACCCTTGGATTTTTAGGTACTTCCATGACCTACCTCCAGTTTTAGGAGCAGCAAACTGGCACAGATTGCCAGAAGATTAGAGTACTTCATTCTCGTTCTTTCCGCTACACTTGTGATCACCTCGATTGCCTGAATCGAACTAGACTTGAAATACTAATCGTCTGAAATTGCCAATCCTATAGCAGTGGCTAAGCAAAGGTTATCTATAGGTTTTCCCACAATCTCCCTTATCATCGAGTGCAAATATAATAGATTTTCCCCAATATTTCCGTTTGAGGTAGAACCAAAATTTATTTGAGAAATTCGTTAAAGTTAATATAAATTTTCATGCTTCTCGGGTAATAAATGTTTAATTTTTCTGTAAAATTGATGGGGTCTACAAATACCTAAACATTTAAAACATTTGAATTTAAAAATGTTTTTAAAAAATATTTTAAGAGTTTATTTGCAATACGTTAACAATAGACAGTTTGGAATCCATTGCAAGTATTCTTTAAACTCATTTTTTTCTCGAACTATATCATAATTATTTAATAGATGTACACTTTGTCATACAAACATTAGTTGGGACTACCCTCTCGACCTTTGTCATTGCTCAAGGCAAAACTGACATTCAGAACTCTGCCTTGCTTATCCACGATCTTGGTGACCAGTTCCCCATCCTCCTCCTTTATGTCTGCGACGGTGATGTCCACCTTTGACAGAAAATCATCGATGACCGTGTCAGTTCCATTTGTCTTGGGAGCCAGTGTGGGCAGGGGTACTAAGGTTCGCTCCGTTAAAGTTGGATCTGGTGACGGCACCCACAGGGGATTCGAATCGTCGAAATTTGGGGGTGCCAGCGTGGGACGGGGAACCAAAGATCGAGGAGTAGTAACTGGGTTTGGCATCCATTGGTCAATAACATCGGGTCTATTCGGATTACGTTCATATGTGTTGGGCACATTTTGAGGGGGAAGGTACTCCGGATTGCGTCCACCCAAACTGGGATCTTCGCGGGGTGGAATATATAGAGGGTCACGGCTCGGAATATTTATGGGATCATCTTGAGGAGGACTATATTCCGGGTTTGGTTCGTTTGGTCTCTGGCAATTACAAGGTAGACCGGGAATTTGCGGGATAAACTGATTGGGTCCGAAAGGAACAAAGTTTTTAAAGATGTTAAAGTCGGGGAAACCATATCCCACTGGATTGAGGAAGGGATTATTGAAGACACTGGCCAGTCGACGTAGCTGGTTTGATACAAATTCCGCATTTTCTTGAGCTTGTGTGGCGGCAGATGCTCCCACTGCCGGATATGTCCTTCCACGTCGTATTTCCGTGCTCCTTAAAATGTTTCTTCCATTGGGACTTAGTTCGAAGGTTTCCGTAATCACCTCACCGGAATTTTTTTTCGTTGTGACAATATACGGCGATTTGGTGCGCCACATTTCATTTAATATATCCTCGGTCAAGTTCCATACACGGGCCTTGGAGTACAGAGAAGGGTGGATTCCACGATCAGTAGCTCTGGCTGCTCCCATCTAGAGGAAATAATTTGTTTTAACTATGGAATAATGGGAAATCCAATGTCCTACCTCCAGTTGGGAGAACACCAGGCTGGCGCAAATAATCACAAGATTAGCGTACTTCATTGTTGATATTTCCCGGACACATGCAACCACATCGAATGTCTGGTTCAAACTGAACTTGATTCCGTGAGCATAGCGCACAAATGCCGATCGATGCTGATCACCCTTACTTATATATAAAGCTTTATTCTTCACGAGTCACGTTTTCTGCTCTTTATTTAGAGGCTATCGACTTGTTTAGAGATACTTTATCTGAATGGGGTTTATGCCGTGAGGATTTGAATGAGGATAATCTTTAAATATAAAATCTTATTTTTATCAAAATAGGGGAGCACTTTTTCAACATTAAGTCTGTGAGGCCTTATGTAACATAAGCAAGTTAGAGAAGTTCTGAATGAACTGAGAATTTTTTAACAACTATGCACGTCTGCTATTCGTCGATAGAAAAGACCGGTTTTTTGCAGTACATGTTGCAAACTTACACATGAAAAACAAGTCAGGCCGTTCTCGACCTTAAAATACTCATCATCTAAGTATTGCTTCTTGTTCAGCTAGTGGGAAAATTCACAATTTCTATATAGCGAATACATATTCAATTAAAAGAGTCTGATAGGCTCCAGATTTTACTTTGAATGGGTATTTCTTTTCTTAAAACTCATAATAAAACTTCTAGGTTATACCCGGGTATTCAAATTGCTCATCGGCATCTATTAAACTATATTTATGAAGCTGTGTTTTTTTTCATTGCAAAGCCTACAATCTCAAGCTAGAGATAGCGTAGAACAAGTTTTAGAACTACCTTGCTGATTAAATATACATTTATTGTCAGTTCCGTAAATATGCTCTTAATAATTACAAATTTAGGTTTAACAAATATTTTATTTCTTCGAACTTAACAAAATAAAAACGTGTTGGCTATCACATTTTATTACAGCTTTAAAAACACTTCATGCTATATACATAGATAATAGCTATTCAAAAGACGATACATCTAATTTTTTTTCATAATTTAAAGTTGGCAGAAAAGGCAGCAAATTCCAAAAATTACAAATTTTGTTTTTTGGGTGTACTTGAAGTCTCTAACTCTTGTTCCTCGCAAAGTAAACAGCAAACCAGATTACACCGAAATTAAAATCGTTCTAAGAACTAAGGCTCCAAATAACTGACAGTATGACAGACACGTTATCATGACATGGTAAAAATAAAAATGAACCCATTGGTCCTTCGCATTTCGTTGGGAGTGAGTCTGTTGATCGGGGCTGAGAAAGGATATTGAAGATGTAGACCCACCGATAGGATAGCATTAGTGTTGGGGGCCACGGTCCAGCGACGGTGGCTAAAGGGTGCAACATCAGGACCGGACTTCAGTCATGGCCATGCAGGATTTACGCTAAAAAGACGCCATAAACCTTGAATGCCAACAGAGCGGAGGAAAAAAAAGGGACCGAAATTGGAATTTGATAGACGCCCGGTCCTCTGGTCCTTGTCCAGGTCCCAGGTTCGTGGCCCCGTGGCTGGTCCCCATCCTGGCCGGAGTCCTTGCTCGGAGCTCAGAGGCCGTTGCACGTATCCCCAAACCCTTTTCGTCCCTTTTCCACGTGGGGGGGCAAGGCAAGTATTGACGACTTTTTAAAAGGGTCGAACGTTGTCAGGGATAAAGGGGGGTTGGGGTTAGAGCCCGGACGAACATGGCTTAGGGGGTAAGGTGGGTGGAAGGACCAAGGACCAAGGACCGAGGCGCGTGCTATAAACCAACCGATTTTAACGCTTTGCAGGTGAGGCCAAGCGAGGCGAAGGTGTCTGTGTTTGTGAGTGGGCGGTGATTGGGTGGCCGGCCAAAGTTATAAAACTTTACAGTTAACTAGGCTTGGCAATCAAGCTAAAAGCAAAGGCGTCGTCGTCGTCGTCGTCGTTCTCGTCCTGTTGCTACCTCGGCTCCTGTTTGCAGTCCCGCCTGGCGCCATCTAGCGACAGTTGCCGCAGTCGGGGCGAAAAACAAAAAAGCGGCAACGTGCCCCTCTAAATGTGGACAGGTCAACACCCACTTGACCGTATGTGGGTGTGTGTCCTCCGAGTCCTCGTCCCAGTTGGGTGAGTCAGTTTGGGTCCCTCACACCAGATATAGCAGCTCCATTCCCAAGGCCTCCACCACCCAAAGGGTTTGGCTTGACCAATGCTCCGTGAGTTTGTTCAAATCGCCTTTCCTCCGATTTTTTGTGGGCTGATTTTTTACCCGTTTCGTTTCACAGATATTGTCAGGTATGTGATGAAGTCCAATTAGAATTGCGTAACTGAAACTGACTTTTAAATGCTATGAAAATTATTCAAATCCACAAATCTCTCGATGGATTTTAAATAAATTGAATTGAAATGTGATACAACTCGCACAAAATCTACAAAATTTTCATAAAATGTTTTTACAATTACATTTGTTCACTAACTATTTTTGATTAATTATTATTAAGCTGCATTTAGGTAATGCAACTTAATCTGCTTAACAAATCCGTAATATAAACTATGGCTAACACAAAAAAAAAATGGAATAGCACATAGCTTTTGAGAACATTTGTGTTGAAATACTTATATTTCCTATAAGGGCTGAAATGGTATTGGGATTTTATATAACCATTAAGACCCAAACAGTGGTCCAGAATTTATGTAAATCCCACTTTAGTGTTAGGGGACAGGGGAAAAAATTGGAAGCCATCAGCCATGGGCACGCACCCACCCCCAGGAGGGAGTCCTTCCGGGCAGACCCATGGCCACACACCCAACTCTAACCGAGGGTCCCAAATCCCAGGCCCCAGACCGGTCGATGGGCGGAGGACGGAGTTTTAGTGCCTCTGGAACATGGGTCGGGCACTTCTTCATTAATTTTCATGGCGGCACAAGAACAATGCCACGCCCCCAACCGCCCCCCACGAAACGGAGGAAACAGAAATGTTGGAGCGGCGAAAGCGAAAAAAAGTTTCTCCAGCTCGGACCAAAGTTGTGGGTGTGTTTTGTGCAAATGAGTGAAGGTGGAGACGCGTTTCTCGTCCTTTTTGCTTTGTCAGTGTCTGCGTGGGTATATCTCTACGGCTCTGTGTGTGTGTGTGTGGGTTGATTACTTTCTGTTTAGGTGCCCGTCCAAGTTGCCACCCCGGCAAAACCCCAACCTTACTTTCGAAAAGGGACTTCTAAAGGCAAAAACGCATTTTTATGTTTGCTCGCCCGCCCGTCGTCTAGCGGTCCTTGGTCTCTTCCCCATTTTTTTTTATACCGTAAGCAGGATGCGAAGCCCTTTTTCTGCGCCCAGCCACACCCAACGATCTACCAAAAAGGAGGGAGGGGGAGGGGTGTCTGCCGGGCAGGGACAATCGTCCCAACCCCATCGATGTCTGGGCTGGGTCCTGGAAAAATTGCAATTTTCGCTGAGGAAAAAAGCCAAGACAACGTCTTGGAGTCGCTTTGACATGGCCGGGGACCAGATACCCCCTTTGCACCCCCTCCCCTAGGGCTGCTCTAATGAATTTCCGTCCAGGCAACTGGGCAGCATCCCTGGCAAAAAGGAAAAAATAAGAGAGTAGAGCGAAAAAAACAATTAAAGTAGGATTTGGTTGAAAGAATGGGCAAACGCACCCATAATCATAATTGCGCGCCCGAAACTTGTCGATTCTTCAGGACTCCTTTCTTCCATCCAACAATCGACCCCTTTTCCCTTTAATTCTCAGTCCCCCTTTTGCTTAATTGTCAACTGGGCTCCCCAACTTGTTTCCTTTTCAAAGCTCTCTTGTTCTTTATTCAGGGTTTTTTGGAAAATTTTCACTTGCTTTTAATTTGTCAATTCGGTTGGGGCATTCTACCCGGTTTTTCACATTTTTTTTGTGACTACTCTGGAACAATTTTCCTGTTTGCTGATGAGTTGTCGAACACGGTGGCAATTACTTATTTTGGCTAGCCTCGAGACTTGCGTTTTAATTACTTGCTGGATTTGAATAAGTGCTGCGTTTATGGCAGGGATTGAAAGGAGCTTAATTTTGGAGCTGTTTAGTTTTCTTCTTCATACCCACCTTACTTCTTTGGATTTTTTCATAGATGATTAAACAGTAGAAAAGGTATCATTACTTTTTTAATTTAGGTTGAAGGAGTTGCATTACACTTGTTTTATATATATTTTTGATAAGCATAGTGAGAAAATATTATCATGTTGATTATTTTTGTGTTACTTAATGTAATCTCAGTTTCGAATAATTGGATTTTTTTATAACAATCTATTATCTGTTTTAAAAATTCTTTTTACATATTTATTAAAAAAATTATTAAAGTTTGTATAAAACATTCTATTCAAAATAAGAAAATATTATTAGAGGAGGTAAAATCAACTTCAAATACTTTAATTTTTGATTTTTTTACAAATCTATTATCTGTTTTAAAAATTCTTTTTACATATTTATTAAAAAGATTATTAAAATTAGTATAGAACATTTTATTAAAAACGGGAAAATAATATTAGAGGTAAAATCTACGAAGTTTTGATAGTACACAATTCATAACATTATAGCGATGAGGCCAGGGACCCTCTGATTTGAAGGGCTATTCAGGAATCGTCCTTTGATCCTATGTTCAGACTCACTTCCCCCAATCAGAAGTCCATCCATGTCAAAAAACAATTTGACTCCAATTACCGAAACACTAAAAAGATGTACCGAAAAGTGGAAAAGGGAAGTGAAAAAGAAAATGTTCATCGCCACCGATTGAACTTCCGATGCAACGAGAAAGCAACAACGTCAGGCGGCACGAACGATGACGTTGATGGCAAATAAACAAAAGATTAAGCCCAGACAACAGTAAACAAACCGCATCAAAGTGGGAAAACCGGAAGCGACAAAAAAAAAAACGAAGACAACAACAATCAAATAATGAATTCCTTTGGCAAACGACAAATTGATAAATTAAACGCCACTTATGGGCGGAATGTACATGTGTGTGAAAACCGGAAGAAAGTGGAAAAAGAAAGCAAAATAACGGCAAGGACACGCAGTGCAAAAACAAAAAAAAAACAGAGGCAACAACAACCGCAAAGTGCACGCAAATTGAGGCGGTAATAAAAAACAACATAAACAAGCAGCGTCAGAAAATAAAAGCAGAAATAAAAGTCAA